TGGCGAGATGCATGTGCAAAAGTATGTCCACGTACAGTTTCCTTAAATTCGTCAGATCTCAATGAAAAGTAAAATAACTCCCCAGTGCCTCGTAGAATTCTCTATTATCAAATTTCATCAAAATCTGTGTAGCGGTTCTCGAGTTGTTCAACGAGAATTGACGAGCAGACTGAGAAAATTCTACAGGGGCTTTGCAGGAGCGATTAAAAATGCTACGTCATGAAGGGCTTTGAACTGGAATCTGCTTTACATGAGAACACTTTTTGTTGAGCTACAAAATAGAATTACCATGAAATAACGTGCAAAAAAAAAGTTCAAGCGCATAATTTGATGCACGTGGAAACAAGCCATTTTCTTCTCGCCCGTTTTCCTTAACAGAAATTTATGTTTCACGCACGTAGCTTTCATGGAAAAGCTTTGTAAGATAATTTTTACAAAGCCACTGGGTTATGTTACTGGGAACAGATGTATCTTAGTCCCTTAAGTACTGAATTTCTTATAAATAATATATAAAATTTCTGTTTGTAATTCATAAAAAATACATCACGTCTCCTCTACAAAGAACAACGGGTTAATGTTATATAGGGAGATGAAAGATGTTTATTGAGAGAACGATGCAAAACACAAAAATACAATATGTGGGCAGAATAATGCAGTATTTTAGTACTTCTAATCATGTAGTACATTAGTAACCACTAGGCTTTCAAGGGCTAACATGATGAGTTTCTCATAACGGCGACTGAACAGGTAAACAAGTCTAAACTACATTTCGGAAGTTGACTCTAGTTATACCTTCACGAATTTCGTTATCTCTATACTGGCAGACGTATTATTGATTTTGTATTTTGTTGCTATCATATTGTCATCACATCCAGTAGGTTCCCGGCCCTATCCTAACAGACGCCAATAACATCAAAATACCAAGGAGTTCTGGGAAGAACTAATCACTTACTTTCCTTCGATACGACATTGTCCGCATAGAAAACGAAGCGTCAAGTAATTCTTCTATCGTTACCGCGGGAACGTCTGTACTGAGCCGTTGCGTAGCAATGTTATGGGGGATACACAGACGCACAGACTCATGTGACGGACTTATGACTTACGCCGTTATGATGGGCTCAGGTGCTATAATAAGAATATGACAATAGCGTAAGCGTACATTTAGTTTTTCAAAACGAGGAAAATAGGCTAAAAATGTAAAGAAATCTGTCAGCATATTGACTGTAGAAGAACCAAGTCCCGAAACGTCTCGTACATCAAATAAAACTTACAGAATGTCCGACGCAATATCTGTTGAAAGTATGTCATTGTTACACACGTAAGAGGGCCCCAAGGACATACGTAGGGGAAGGGTTCAGGCAGACTCGGTTCGCGTGTGGCTGCAACGGCTGGCGTCAAGACAAAAGACGAATTTCACGTATACGAATGCGGTTTGTGTAATGGATAGAGATGGGGGGTCCAAACGAATGGCACTTAACTCACGGAACACTTCTGCCCACCCAGATCCCAACAGGGAACGTCTAAACTTCGTCGTGCCTGGCATTGAAGAGTTAAATAAAAAATATACATTCCTCTTAAGACGCGTCCACATTACTCGTGCTCGTGCTCGTGTGACTCGCTATGCTCGCGAGTAATGTGGACGCGCCTTTACACTTGAAGACATATCTTATGGGGTGTAAGGCCGTGTAGTAAGTTGATAATCAAGACCTGCTTGCTACATGCTTCACGCTAGTCCCTTGTTTGGTTTAGTCTTCGACCCTGAAGATTTAGGCGGCATGTTCTTCGGAAATATCGGTTGACTTTCAACGGATTTTACGCTGTTAAGGGGCCCATACACGTACAAGTCTTGCTCGCGAGTCCGACTCGGCTCGGGTTCCAGTGAGCCAAATTCGTCCGTGTACAGGTTGCAAAGTTGGGAGTCAGCTCATGCGTTTGTGGTGAAATTAATCCGAACCCGACTCCCGAATCAAGCTTGCCGAGCCGGACTCGCGAGTCAGACTCGTACCTGTATGGGCCCAGTAACAGCGTAGAATCCGTTGAAAGTGAACCTTTAGAATTTAGTAATTTTCACAACCACTGCTGTTAGAACCTCACATATTTTTTACATTTGTTAAAAGTATTCTAAGCATGAGTTTATAAATGGATTAATATTCTCTACTTTAATTCGGGAGAAGAAGGTAAGAACCTTCTCAAAGAAGATGAGTTTTTTTTTCAGAGAATCCAGTAGTTTATCAAATATCAAGAATTTTCCCACCTTTTGTGGAAAAATTAAGTTCATTACCATGCCCGAAATATCACTCAGACAGTTCCCATTCTGAGCCAGATGAATCCAGTCGACATTCGCACATTTTGTTGCTTTACTATCTATTTTAAGTATTTTGCTTTAATTCTGCAACCGTCACAGTTTATCCTTCTTTTCACAGAATAATTTGAGTGCTATCTACAGACTCTGGCTTATCTAACTATAATTTGAAATAATTCAGGTTCCGTAAGGGTAAGGTTTTGGCATTCTCTATAATTTTCAGTATGTAAGAATGATTACATGTTATTTTGAATTAAAAGAGTTCAATATATCAGGTCAGAACAGATAATCATAGGCTGAATTGGAGGAATGACTGGCGGCTTCACTTGCTCATCATTCCAAAAGAAGAAACAGCGTCAAAATTGCAGAGAAATACAATGGGTCCGCCACTGTTTTCCTTCATGAGTAAAGAAGCTGTGAACTTCAACGAAAAACATTCGCATTAGTCAAACTCTGTCCTTGAGGAAGAGCTCTAGACATGTTGCAGCATGTGTGGGCAAGCGAGTCAGCATCCGGTTATATTTATTTTCAAAGAACTTAACCGCGACAGCTCCAGTCCAAAAGATAGGTGAGACAGACAACAACATCAGGATTAAGAAAAAACACGATCAATTTTTTGCCATGGAAACAAGGTTCTTTCATTACAAAGAAACAAATAAAAATATTATTCTAACATTATAACCACATTTTGAAGTAGATTGCATTTCCAGTAGAATTTTCTTAATTTCCCCCCCCCCCCCAAAAATANNAAAAAATATTAGTTGCCATGAAGATAAATTTCGTAATAAATGCAAACATGTACAGTATTTTATATAATAAGAATATGTGAGGTTCTCGTGGCAGTGTTTATAAAGATTGATCTCCTCTAGGCTGTTGCATTTTTTACCTATTACCAATAATTTTAATTACTGACAATTTAATATTTCACCCTCTTATTCAAATTGTTGGAATTTATAAATTTATTGGCCAGACTATACAGCGTCATATCAAAGAAGTTTGTTTTCTCCTTAATAGTTTCCCAGTAATATATTTTTAAAATGTTAAAATTTAATTACTCACGGATCTTACATACAAACTTTCAAACCTTTAAAATACTGTCATGTGTATGGGGTACGCATGACGAAAATAGCGGGTTCTAGTTCGGATGCTTGGATTTATTAGCACTTCGGTTACAGTCTGCCTTAATTACAATTAATAGAGCGCTATCGTTAATTTACACACTGTCCAATCCACCGTTGCACACGCACTAGGATTCCCATTCTTCACTAGTCGTCTCATGGCAACGGATCTCAACACAGAAATTACCACTTCAAATTACTGTGAAGTTTTCTTCACATTTCTTGTTCAATCAGCATGGAACCTAGGAACTCAACTCTCCTGGACTCAAGTCAAAGTCAAAGTCAAATTCAAAGTCACATTGCGACTGACGGCCAGTCAGTCAGTAAGTCTTGGTGTCGAGCACCCTCCTGGGGCCCATGACAAGATATTTATTACTGTTTGACAGGTACGGTCTTGTTTTTTGTGGGCGCCCTCTCTGACGAGAGGACGGGTCTGTCTTTTGTATATGCTGCTGGTCCTTGCCAGTGCAGTCTTTCTCGGGTCCGAGTCCCTTGGTACTTGAGATGACATATTACTGTCTCAAATTTGAGGAGTCTCCTTTCGTCGCCTCCTACGCCTCTCAGGGTCACGGTGGAGGTATTCGACCCCGCCGCCACACGAGTGTCTCCTGGACTCCTCAACAGGTTTTCTTTATATAGGGTCCTCACGGACAACACAGAAAACGCAATTCTATTGTTGCGCAGGGCAAACTGCGCAGAAAACAAGTCATTTGATAGCTAAGTACTGTTGGAGTGTGACGCCATTGCGCCTACGCGGAAGTGTGTTTACCGAGCTGTTGCCTAGAAGCGGGTTGCGTAACCCCGTTGTTCCATTGTTGCCTGCGTGTATTACTTAGAAACGGCTGTTTCTGTGGCTCAACAGTTCTTGCATGGGGCAAATACGTCACAGTACTTTCGTGCAAATTACAAGTTTGCAGTTCTCATAGGTTTGAGTCTGATTATTTTATTCATGAGCTTACATATGAATCTGATCACGACAATATTCGATATTTAGTACAAATTATGAAGTCCATTTTCATTTTGCAGTTTTATTCTTCCTCCTTTTATTTTCTCTGTCCTAAATTCAAATATTCTTCTGAGTTACCTGTTCTGAAACACCTTCAATATATGATTTTCCCTCAGGATGAGATAAAAGTTTTCATGCCCTTAGAGGTAAAAGAAATTAAAGCTATCCCTGTAACAGATCGTGGAGGCCCGTAGGGTTGTGAGACATCGAGGCTCCCACATTTTCTAAACAGTTGGCTCGCAGGTGGCGGTGAGATTGTCAGCCTTACCCGCCGGCCGCCCTTTACCCCCAGGAAGATTTCTGATGCTCATTTCTGTTAGAGGCTGAGTCGACCTTGGAGCCATAGTGCGGCTGGCAGGATTAGGTCAATGAAAAATCCAATGATTTTATGGAGAATCGAACCCAGGACTTCCGGCTTGTAGCATAGTGCCTCAATCAACTACGCTGCCACGTGGATTCTGACTGAACTAAATGTAATGTAGTAAGAAATTTTTAGAGATATCAAGTTACATGATAAGTTATAATTTTTATATAATTAGTCTAGCATAAACACTTAGCGGCGAATCTTTATGTTTATGACAAAAATAAAATAAAACAGCAGAAGAGTACAAGAGTTGTAGATTCTCTTGTTAAGTGGCAGTTTGAATTCAGTTTCTTAACAGTTTTACGTTACATTTTACTTGATTTCTCCCTTTTGCAATAAATATTATAGCAGCAGAACGACTGAAAGAGATCTGTAGTTGGAGCCAAAGTTAAGGTCAGTTAATATGTGCGTTTGTAATTCACATATAATTCCATTCTTTAAATCTCTCAGTGTAGCATACGTAAACAAAAATATGAACGTTCTTTTCACTTTCATACATTCCTAACATTCCTTCACTTATCAGTGGTTTGTACTTCTTAATGGAGTCGCACGTTACATTCCAGCTTTCTCTTCATTTCCCTGGATCTCTGGCGGAAGTTCCAAATGCACAACTGTTTCTTTCACCGTTGTCACCCCCGTACTCCCCTCTGCCGTGTCCTGCCGTGTGGTGGGGATGAGGAGCAACGTAGTTCGATTAGGGGAGACAGCACACAAACGGACATGGGACGCAAAACTGTTCAGTTCTGCCTGATCCGCATTTGTGGCTGCGAGAAGATCCTGGCAAGCATAATGTGAGGGAACATAACCTAATCTGCCTAGAAGTTCCTCCATTACCCTTTGAACAGATGTTCGGACCTCGGAGTTCCTGTAGCCATATACCCACGGATTTACTGCGCTGCTTGCGAAGATTGGAAGAGCGAGATAAATGGACGTCCATTCACTCAGGATCCGTGTCCCACGAAATATGTCCAGTAGCATGCACATCTGTGGAAAAGGAATAAGAACATTTCATTTCACTATGAACTAGATCAGGGACTGTAAGTTACTGTATATAACTTCCTTCCCAGGTACCTAAAAGGTCATTAGATATGGGGAGAACAAGATTTCTGTTCGCAGCGGAAGCAAAAGATTCCTTCTGACCAAATGGCAGAATTTTTAGAGCGCCCGGGAAGGAAAAATATAAATAGGAACTAAGAAAGATGTAAATTAGAACTACAGAAGGCATATAATATTCTTGTACATTTAGTTCTGGGTTAATTGGTGCACACTTTGTATTTAGGCCTTCAATGGCCTACTGTAGATGCCCTGAATGATGCATGAAAGAAATTGAGTACTTGGTGAATAGTAATTAGCAGAAAACCCGAAAAGCCCAGAAAAAACTTGACCCACCGGAAAGGCTGGTCTAGAAACAAATGCGCTAGTCTTGTATTCAGGAGATACTCAGTTCGAATCTAGGCCGAGACATAAGATATCCTCATTGAGGTTTCTCGCGTATTTCCTTAGTCCCTCCAAGTGAAGTCTGGGATAGTATCTCGATTAGGCCGCGGCAGCTTCCTTTATTTCCTTCATCAATGTCTATACAGCCCTTTTTGGGCCTTGGCCTCTTCTTAACTTTCGAAATCCTATTTACACAGACAGTAGGACTCCTTGGACGAGTGATCATCCCGTCTCAAGGCAGTTACCTAGATATAGGAGAACACAAACACACAGAATAAACGCACACACAGACATCCATGCGTTGAGTGGGATTCGAACCCACGATCCTAGCGTTCGAGCAGAAGATATTTCATGCCTCAGAACGCGCGGCCACTGTGATCGGCTAGCTTCTTTCTAAGTCATTTTAATTCGTCATTCATATGTCATCCCATCACCCGAATCCATATATTTTCAATAATAAAACAGCCTCATTAAGTAACCCAAGAAAACTACCTGTCCTATTGCCACTTCGTCCGCCACAAATCCCAGATAAATTAAGCTGACATTGAACCCAAGAGCCGCTGTGAGAATCCTGCTACTAACCACCTGAACGTTGACACAGCCTGAATATATGTAGTTGGAAGTGGTAGAATTTATCTGACAAGCAAAATTATCCTAACAAACTGCACTAATAACACGCCTAAATACAACTATATACAACTATCAATGCTTATAAAAATAAAATTATATTACACAACATATTATTTACACATTACAGACAATGCGCAAGCCTCAAAGAGAATGCTGCCCGAATAAATCCGAAACGAGAAAAACTCAGGCAAATATCTTTTAAATAAACGGGCGACGACCATAATGAAATACATTAAGATATTATTTAATTCTAATTCAGGTCAGTTTATTTGAATTATGAAATATCGCATTCACGCGAGATACGTAACTTTGACATAGAGTGGAAAAATTTTAGCAAAATAGATAACATTTGATATGACCACCTCTGTGGTCTTGTGGTAAGAGTTCCTGGCTAAGATCCAGAGCTCCGTGTTCGTTTCCCTGTGCTACCAGTTCTTCTGAGAAGTAATGGGTCTGGAACGGTTTTCACTCAGCTTCATGGGGATAATTGAAGAGCTATTTCAGGAAAATAGCAGGTCCGTTCTAGAAAACCGAAATTAACGGCCGTGGGAATTCGTTGCGCTGACCACGCGACACCCTCTATTCGCTGAAATTGGCACTAACTTGGCCACAAGCGGCTGTCGCTCGGTCGGTATAGGTCGCTTACGGACTGAAACCACGGAATTTGTTCTGTTTGAAAATATTTGATGATTGTCGTATAGGGCCGAAACATATAGTGAGGAAGAAGGGTGACTAGATAACAAGTTGCATTTAAGACGGAGATGTATGTGTACAAAAACAAAAAGAGTTATTATGTTCTAATACCTTTTATCATTTTTATTGATATTATGGGAAAGAGAATTTATACATCAGGTAAACTATATATAATAAAATTTTTGATATTCCTATTTGCTTCATTCCGGAATTACAAGGTAAACGTGAAGGACGTAAAAAATAAATATAATTACTCGTATTTGTTCAAACACTTGGGACTCTGCAAAATTTAACAAATTTTAGGTTACGAAATTCGTGTTAATTCCTAAGTCTACTAGAGGAAACCAATATAGACCTACATCTTCGTCAACATAAAAAATGACGTCCAAGATATATTGCTGTATGCCATATTATTATTATTATTATTAGTTACAAAATAAAGTACAGAGTGCTCACGATGGCAGCATGTTGTCAGATCTATAGTAGATTACAGAGAATTAGATTAAATTGTGCCTATTGTATAAAGTATCTATAAATTTAGACTGCAGCAGATTCAGCAGCACTCAGAAGAAATGGCTTGAATGTGCAAGAGACAAGCTGAGTGTTATGAGGTCAGTAACACTTCTGTGTGTATAATACTTTTAAATTGAGGACTAGAAATATGTAGCACTAAGATTATCAAAAAACTTCAGCAAGTGGTAATCGCTCACCTAGTCAAAATCAGCTCTTTATTTTATTTATAAGAACCTATTTGCCTGTAACCATTTTCTCTTTCTTGTCCTGAAAATCGAACAATTCAATTCACCAAAAGATGCGGGGGTTTCGATTTTTGTAAAATTTTTCCGGTACGCATCAACTTTGTAGAAACATGCCTACCGGCGATTTACGGTTGAGACGCTACCTCTTCCTTATGCAAACTGGAGACAAATGTTTTTCCTCTCGCTCCAACTTTGGAGCATAGGACTGATTTCTCAGTTTAGTTGAACATTTTTACAGATGATAGGACTCCTTAGACGGGCGATCAGCTCGTCGCAAGGCCTCTACCTAAACACAGAACAACACAAACACAGAATAAACGCATACACACACCAAACATCCATGCTTTGTGTGGGATTCGAACCCATGATCCCGGCCTCCGAGCAAGCGAAGACAGTACATGCCTTAGACCGCTTGGCTACCGTGACCGGCGGAGGTATATTTCATCATTCAAAAGGGAGTTCCATTGGACATTAGCCCGAACCAAATACGATTTATCCTCCCGTCTATAACTATCTTCAAATTGCCTTCCGTTCTTGAACTTTTCCTAACTACAGTTTGCATGGGGATCTCAGATGTCCGACTGACTTTACACCTCGTCTTCCTTGATTTGATTATTATTATTATTATTATTATTATTATTATTATTATTATTATTAGTAGTAGTAGTAGTAGTAGTAGTAGTTGGTTGAGGGAAGGTCGCAGGTTCAAGTCCCGATGAGGTCATTGGATTCTTTTCAATTGACATAATCCTTCCAGCTGCACTATGGCCCTAGGGTTCACTCAGCCTCTAACAGAAATGAGTACCAGGAATTAATCAAATATTTTCCTGGGGAGTGCGCCTATGCTACCAACGCGGTGGGTAAAGATCTCGACATATTTGCAATCGGAACAGTTTCTGTCAAT